TCTCAGGAATCGGTAGAACCACTGGACAGTTTTCTCCACATCTAGATAGGAGCCAGTGCACAGGGTCTGCAGGAGGCTGGGGTCCTGCTTCCTTCTCAGCTCCTCCTCGGAGTGGTGGAGGAAGCACAGCATGTCCTCCTGCAGCTGCTCCCCTCTGCAGGTGCACAGCAGCTCCACACGGACACAGAAGTTCCTCTGGAGCATCCCTGCGGTGTCCAGCTCCAGGTGGAAGGCGTGTCCTGGAGGGGGACTCAGGGGTACAAGCACACGGTACACATCTTGTGCATGGGGACTCCAGCCTTCAAAGGCGCTGCCCACTCCGATGGCTTGTTGTGGCACTGGGTATGGGGACTCCAGCCTTCAAAGGCGCTGCCCACTCCGATGGCTTGTTGTGGCACTGGGTAGAAACAGTTGGAAAAGTCTTGTCCAAAGATGTCTGTCAGTTTGTCCATCAGCTCCATTACCAGCGAGCAACCTTTGTCCAGGTCCACTACATGCAACTCTATGCGTTCCTCTAAAGGCCTTCCAAGGTTCCTCTTGATATTTTGGTCATCGTCTTCTCTCTTTGCATCCTGTTTGTCTTCTTCAAGTCTGGCAGCATAGGCTTCCTCGCCCTCCTTTGAACCACGGTTTACTTCTTCCTTTGCACCATCATTGCCTTTTTGTGCTTCATTTCCAGCACTGCTTTCTGTCTTTGCATCAACATTGTTGCCTTCTTCATTTCCATCCTTATTGTCTTCTTCCACATTTGCATCATTGCTTTTGATTTCTTCCTTTGCAACAATGTTGTGTCCTCCTTTTTCTTCTTTTTCTTCCTCTTCATTTCCAGCAGCGTGGGCTTCCTCAAAATTCTCACCGTGGTTTAGTCCTTCTTTTGCATCATCATTGGCTTCTTTTGCTTCATTTCCAGCACTGCTTTTTGCCTTTACATCAATGTTGCTGCCTTCTTCATTTACATCCTTATTGTCTTCTTCCACATTTGCATCATTGCTTTCGATTTCTTTCTTTGCAACAATGTTGTGTCCTTCTTCTTTTTCTTCTTCTTCTTCCTCTTTTTCTTCTTCTTTTTCTTCCTCTTCATTTCCAGCAGTGTGGACTTCCTCAAAATTCTCACCGTGGTTTACTCCTTCTTTTGCATCATCATTGCCGTCTTTTGCTTCATTTCCAGCACTGCTTTCTGTCTTTGCATCAACATTGTTGCCTTCTTCATTTCCATCCATTGTATTTTCTTCCACATTTGCATTGTTGCTTTTGATTTCTCTCTCTGCAGCTGTGTTGCCTCCGCCTTCTTCATCTTCTTCCTCATTTCCAGCTGCATTGGCTTCCTCAAACTTCTCACCCTGGTTTACTCCTTCTGTTGCATCCTCATTGCCTTCTTCTGCCTCATTTCCAGCACTGCCTTCTGCCTTTGCATCAACGTTGCTGCCTTCTTCATTTCCATCCATAGTGCCTTCTTCCACATTGGTGCTTTCTATTTCTTTCTCTGCAACAATGTTGTCTCCTTCTTCTTCTTCTTCTCCTCCTTCTTCTCCTTCGACTTCTTCCTCCACCAAGTTGCTGCTGGACCTCTCTTTGACGCCACTGGTGTTGGGGTTGCGTCTGATTTTCCCGAGTCCAAACCACAGTGCCACGAGAAGGACCACGATTCCAGTTAGAGCCCAGAACTGCCAGACCAGCAGGGCTCCCCAGGTGCCACGACTCTGCTCCAGGTCCTTCTGCTCCAGCTCCTCAAGCAGCTGAGCCATCTGCTGGTTCAGATACTCAGCACGCTGCTGCATGCGCTCCCGTGCGGCCTCATCCAGCCCGTCCCCAGCCTGCTGCGGGTACTGGATGAGGCCTTGCGCAAGCCAGAGGAGAAATGCTGTGGCCAGCATGGCCTAAGGTGCTTTGCAGGGCTCGAATGGGGATGGGAAGGGGGTACTGATAAGGGAAATGGGGACAGGAGCCCCCGGGGATCTGAAAGCAGGCAAGAGGAGGCCGGGCAGCTGGCAGGCTGCAAAGCCTGAGCTGCTGGCCCGGCAGCAGCACCGCAACCTGGCAAAGGTGCTCCTGCCAGAGCCTGGCCTCTGGATGCCCGCTGAGACCCGGCTGCCCGGGTACTCGCGTTTGTGCCGTCGGTCTCCTTCGACGTTCAGCACAGCCTCCCGTCTGCGTGCACACTCGCCGCTTGCCGAGGCTGTACTGGGCCAGCATCACCTGCTCCTAATGTTGCTAGCTGCACCCATTGTGACACAGGTCCTGTGATGTCACACGTGACAGAGTGCATCCCGGCCAGACCAGCCCCGCCCTCCATCTCTACCTCAGCCCTGGGACTCATAATAGCCCCGGGCAACCAAAGACATGACCCAAGCAAAGAGCACACCAATGGGTCATAATGGAGCCCCAGCACCCTAGAATTGGGGGTCTTCAGTCTTCTTTTGGTGGTCTTTTGAGGAAGGCTTATACTCATCCTTGCTGTCCTCTGGATGGCCTCACAGGTTGCCTGTGCATATTAAGCGTTGTGTTATGTAAGTCCACTAATTAGTCTTACATTTAATAATTTTCAGGCTCTATGCCTAAAGTCGTTCCAGCTTTATCCATCTCAAGGTTGATTTCGTCTTGGGACATCACTTATCTCAAAACTACATCCTGTACCTTAATTTTAACACGTAACATCTGTAAAGGGGTACATCTGCTTTGTAACACTAATTCCCTTGGTTAATAACTTTCCAAATAGTTACAATTTAGTTAGCATGAATCAATTCCATTTATCACACCAGGAGGGGCCTTTTTGAGAGGAAACATTGCTTGAACATCATTCTCTAATTAAATTACTACTCATTTTTCCTTCTTAAATTTAAAATCAGAAATAACCTTTCTCTTGTACTTTCTCTCTGTTTAAATACAGAATGCTGTAGTGAATCTAGCTCTCATTCATATTTGATTATTTCCATCACCTGGTCCACCCAGCAAAGTTACTTGCCAAGGAGAAAGGCATCAATTAAGGGGACAAACATGCATTAGGTTTTCTTATTAAAAAAAATAAAATCTAATTATTAATATTTCCTGTAACTGAAGGGAAAGGTGGTATGAAGAAGCACAATGCGAACTTCTGAGGTAATGCCAGGATATCAGTGATTTAAACAGAGCTGCAGCACTCATGCTGAAATCATTGCTGACTTTCATACAAACTTTTAAGCTGGTGTAGTAGGTTGATGCTGGCCAGATGCTAGGCACCCACCAAAGCCACTCACTCTCGTCTGCAGCTGGACAGAGGAGAGAAAATTTAACAAAGGGTTCATGAGTTAAGGACCAGGAACAATCACTCATCAAATACCAGCAAGGACAAAATGAGAAGTAAAATAAGCCCTTATAAACATGTTCCACTCACCCCTCCCTACTTCCAGCTCTAGCCCCACCCCAGCAGTGCAGGGGGACAGGGAATGGGGGTTATGGTCAGTTCCTCACCCGTGGCTTCTCCCGCTGCTCTGGGAGAGGAGTCATTCCCCTGCTGCACCGTGGGGTGACACAGAGACAGTTCTCTGTGAACCTCTCCAACGTGAGCTCATCTCATGAGCTACAGCTCCCTGTGACCTGCTGCAAGGTGAGTCCATCCCATGGGGAACAGTCCTCCCCAGACTGCTGCAGCGTGGGTCACTCCTCCACGGGTGCAGTCCTTCAAGGACAGGCTGCTCCAGCCTGGGAGCAAGGCCCCTCTCTCCATGGGTCTCCCACAGGATCACAGCCTCCTCCCAGGCATCCACGTGCTCTGGTGTGGGGCTCCTCCATGGGCTGTGGGTGGATCCCTGCATCCCCCAGGCCCTCCATGGACTGCAGAGGCACAGCTGCTGCACCATGGGCTGCACACAGCCTGCAGGGGAATCTCAGCTATGGCACCTGGAGTGCCTCCTGCCTCTTTTTCTGCACTGACCTGGGTGTCTGCAGGGCTGTTCCTCTCACGTTCTGGCTCTGCTCTGGCCATAGTTACAACTGCACAAACACTTATTTTATCTTCCTTCTTAAATCTGTTACCACTGCGGCATCACCACCATTTCTAATCGGCCCAGCCTTGGCCAGCAGCACATCCATCTTTGGAGCCACCAGGAATTGGCTCTGCTGGACATGGTGGAAGATTCTGGCAGCTTTTTATGGAAGCTACCCTTGTAGTCCCTCCACTACCAAAAAACAGGCCATGCAAAACCAATACAGCTGGTTTTGTACATATTAAATATGAGTGCAGGATATACTGCAGTTCTGCAAATGCAGATCCAACTCAAAAGCTAAAATAATAGTTGAAACCAGCATATAGCATGTTAAAGCGCTTGTATCATTCTGCATTAGAGTAGTGCAGTGACCTGATGGGTCTGTAGTCACTATACAAAGTCTATCTCTCTCTGAAATGTTGGCATGGAACAGAACTCCAAACCTTAGCCTGAGACCTGATTTATAGCGAGAACGGCTATAGCCTCAGGTTGATGTGAGATTTACAGTGATGAAAGGAGTAAATTTATACTTTACTCTGGTGCTCTCCTGTGTTTCAGAGCTGTCTGTGGAAGGTGGTCCTGGCAGTAACTCATCTCCGTGAGATACCTCTGTGCCAGCTGTTGGTCACCTATTTCCCTGTCAGCAGAGCAGTGGAAATGGAGGGTGAATTGGGCAGTACCATTCAGAGGGGGATTTGAGCTCCACCACTTGAGCCAACACAGTGCAGGCAGGGTCAAAAAAATTCAGAGATCACTGTGGGGTGTAAAGTTCAGTGAATGGCATCATCCCTGTAGTGTGACTGTAAAAGACACATATGCTACATAAATTGTGGAGGCTGCTTGCCCCTATCAGCCGTACAAGCCTAGATCCCTTTATACAAATGTACACATTTTGAAGCTTCTTCCATGGAAAAAGCCTTGTCTGATGGCTAAACCCAAGTGAGTCATTAAGAATATCTAATGATATTAGATTGTGTCTTATAACTCATGTTTTAAATACACCCATTGAGAGGAGAACACTTTTTGTTCTTTCATCAGGCTGACTTTGATGGTGCTGCAGAAGATGTAAAAAAATTGAAAACAAGACCAACTGATGAAGAACTGAAGGAACTCTATGGATTCTACAAACAGGCTACTGTTGGAGATATTAATATTGGTATTACCATATATACTTCACATTTACTCACATATATTGATAAAATCAAGCTAATGTTATGTAAATCTCATGATAACCAAAGCTATGCATTTTTTTTGACAGAATGTCCAGGAATGCTAGATTTGAAAGGCAAAGCCAAATGGGAGGCATGGAACCTGAAAAAAGGTGTTACACCAATTGAATTTACATCCTGTAGTCAAGTTTATAGGATGACAAATGAGGAAAGATAATGACTCCTACTTTCCTTTGCAGGTTTGTCAAAGGAGGATGCCATGAGCGCCTATATCTCTAAAGCAAGAGCAATGGTAGAAAAATATGGGATCTAGAGTTACTTAATCTTAATCTAGATTAAGTAATTCCCACTAATAATTAACTGTTCAGCTAATGAACTAACTCTGTTGAGAAAAATGCAGTACTAACTCTTTATTGTGTAGTCTGACACTAATATATTTTAAGCATAAGCTGTTTGACTGTAAAGGGTATTTACATATATAATGCATTTTTAGCTTGTATATTAATCTAAATAAATTTGAACTGAATAAATTAAACTCTCTGTGAGAATTGTGAATTTGTGTGGGTATTAAATTATATTTAGCATTCTGACAGGAGCAGACAAACAGAGAAAGTCTAACAGTAAAATAACATAGATGTAATTTTTTTGCAAACAAGGTTATGCAATAAAGCAAAGAGGTTGTACATGTGCAAGAGAAGAAGGAAAAGATGAAACCTTTTTTAAGACCCAAAGCCAATGTTTGTTTTCAAAAAAATCAGGAAAACTCCCCCTTATAAAGGATTACAGAGGAGGAACAGAACAACTTCTAGGCATAAGTGCATGCAATGTCGAGAAAGAAGTGACTTATTACAAATTGATGTGGACTAATTTTACACATTTAAAATTGAGGTAAATACTCATAAACCAGCATTTTCTATGCATCTTGTGATGTGCTTTATCAAGAAACTTTCATTAGATGGTTTCAGCAGATAAAAGTGATCTCCAGGAAGTTCATAAAAGGCAGTATCTCCACTCGTTAGCTCTCGCCAACCTAACAAAGATATTTAAAGTATCAGAGAAATGTCAATTATTGTGACCATTTTGTATAACTATTTCAAATTTATTATTTAATAATTATTTTAAATTCATATCAACTTTTTGGTTCATACATTGAAACTGCTCTGTTGATTTGTTTCCTTTAAGAAGGAGATACTCTAAAAACTCTTAATTAACAGGTGCACTATAACAAGAAAATGCATAAGAGGAAAACCATTTAAGCAAAGTACCTTGTGCATCATATACTTTATCATCAGATCCAGAAAAGTAGGTAATATCACAGGAGAAGGGGATCATTTCTGCCTTCTGAAATCTGTGAACATAAAAAGTAGTCATAAAACATTCCATAAGATACCTATATTTGGAATTTGCTTCCATATACAAAAAAGGTTTTGTTTTTTTTCTTTCACAAAATGTAATAAATTTCAGGAATTAGATTATACAGGACATCAGGAGGAGAAAATATTGCATCTTGAAGTTTCTCAGCTCTTGGCCCTACTGCAATTAGATCTAAAATTGTAAAGAAAGAATGACCTGATAGTTAAGGGAAAAAAAGAGCTTCAACCTGCAATAAAAATTGTCACCTACAATAAATAATGATGTTACCTATTTATATACAAGTTCTAGCATTTCAGCATCTTTCAGTGTCGGGCTCCTAAGACCAAAATGGGTCCTACATCCAAGTGTATTCTTGTTTTTGCCAAGGTAAGAAGCCTTAACCACTCAGCTACATGAGCTGTTGTGTAACATCCAGTGGGAACAGCAGTTAGGATACAGGAAGCTGGTTGCTGTCTGGGTTCCCAGAACACAGGGATTCTTTTCTTCTGGTTAGGCTAGAGGACCTTGGATCTGGAGGCTGAATGCAGTGTTCCTGAAGCATGATGAGCTGAGATTCTTAACCTCAGAAAACAATGAAAGACATATATTCCTTTTTAGTAGCTGCTAACTTTGGATCCTAGGTAGAACTGTAATTCTGCCACGACAGGTTCACTACTGTAGTAACAGTTGTGGTTGCTGCAGTACACAGTGTTTCATCTAGGGCTTAAATACTAGAAAACAAATAGAAAAGAACACAAAGGAAAAAAACTGTTTATTGTTTCTTTTTCTTTTTATAACAGAAATGAGAACAAGTTACTAAGAAAGAAAATCAAAAACCTAACATGATCAGACAGAAGTAAAAATGTAAAATACAAAAGTAGTACAAAGTTTTAAAACTTACGAAAATGTCTTAAAAATTTTAATGTCTTCTCTGAAATGTAGAGCCATATTTTTCCTAGTGTCTTCGTCATGTGGAAGGTCATAATTTCCTCCTAGAATCTCCATACATGCAAGAAGTTCATCATTTCCTTCAGGTATGACCATGCTTTTGAGGGCAAGATGTACTGCAGACTATCAGTACCAAACAAAACAGATCAGTGGTTTTATATAATATACTTCAAGTAATCTTTTCATTAAAATTATTTTACAAAAAAATACAATAATTTTCCATCTCCAGAATACAATGGCTGATTCGTTTAATGTTCCCAGAGAACACTTGATGGAAAGGGTTAGTTGCTTGTGCTTAATGAAGTGACAAATTATGAGTGAGCCAAGTACACTCTACTTCTGAAACTTATACAGACAAATAACTGTTAATATGATTTTGTTCAAGCTTGACTCTTACTATTGGAATAAAACTAGTAACATAATCTAAGAAAAAGAAAAACCTAGCACTGGACATAAACCTGGCTAATGTAGGACTGAAGAGACCAACTGATTATGGAAATTTGCAGGAATAACAATTACTTCTATGAATCACTCATACTCAGGACTGCTAAGAAGCCTTAGAAACCAAAGAACAGAAATAGAAAATGCTGACTGAGGACAGGATTGGAAAAATGCTACTTCACTACTGTTTTTCTGAGAAAGACTAGCAGAACCTCAGGAAAAAACTGATTAAAAATGCTACAAAGAATGAGGAGAGAGAAGAAAAATTGGACAAATGTATTGAGGCTGATACAGCAGGTTTATGAAAGACTAGGTCCAGACAGTTATTTCACACATTACACAGTAAGGAGGACCACTTAGTATTTTGGTTTGATTACTTTAGAGTTTTAAGCCAATGGCCATACTAAATAACACAATATTCAAAAACATTTCGTTTAAGAATTAGTTAATTCAAACACTAATTAGCTCAATCATTAGTTTAAGGAGATTGCTCTTGCAAGGCTAAGGTTAGCAGCAGTGAATATTATGTATTCTGCATGTACCTCAGAACACTTTTCACTCCATAGATTCAGAAGAAATGTTTATTTTGTATTAAAACTACTCTGCATACCATACTGAAAAGTATTATTTTTATTCTTCATAGCTAATTTATGATTCTTTTTCATAATGTTAACGATTCTGTAGCTTACATTTGGGGCATGTGCTGCTGACATGAAAAGATGGACTGGCTCCAATCCGTACTTTTCTTTCAAATGAAGTGCAACAGCAAAACTTGTGTAAGTTCCAAAACTGCAGTGAAGAAGCATTAAAGCAAAGTAAATAAAAATGCACATAAAACCTGGAAAACATAAACATAATTTTAATTTTAGTGCTAACTGGCTATCTTGAACAGTTGCTGAAACCATATATGACATGCAGATAATATTAGTTGACATGAAGTATATTCCTACACGGTCTAATTTTGCAAATAAGACTTTTTCATAGTCTCTCTCTTAACAGCCTCCTTAATTTTCAGTAAGAACAGTTATTTTGAATACTTGAGACTCAGCAGTCTTTAAAATCTGTGTTTCATGAATGGTTCACTGCCTGCATTCATATAGATCAAGCACTGACACAAATATTAACAATAAATGCAATTATAATTGATTAGAAACATGTGTTCAGATGTTGTGCCTGAAGGCATAAATAAATAAATAAGCAGAGTCTTTGAGAGCAACTGCATGTTTTAGGATGACTTGACAGAAGATCCTTGCAGAAGCATATAAAGGAAAATTTTATTTTTATTTTGCAAATAAAAACAAGTAACTCTCTATTCCTACAGCTCAGAAACAGAAGCTCCTTCTCCAGGGTATCTAAAAATGTGTATTTTTTTTACCTGTGACCAAAAAATGCAAATGGTTTTTCTTTCAATTCTTTTAACAAAGCACTTGTAACTTCAGTAACTATGCTTGCCATGTCTTTTGCAAAAGGCTTCTCAAGGTGAGTGTGTCTTCCAGGAAGCCTTATACAGAACACTGCAGAAGAGGTGAAGGAAGAGAGGGAAAAGAATTACAGTTATTTCAAACAAATACAGTAAAATAGTTTTAATTAAAGTTTTTAGTTATTCTGCAGAATATACATACTATTCTAATTAATCCTTCTTACAGTTGATACTGTGCACTTGCTTGCTATTGCTGCTACTGTTATTTAATCCTGCAAGACATTAGGTTTCCACCTGTCCTTTAGTCTCAAATATTGCCCCTCCAGCTGATTTGATTGATAAATGCCTTGGGTAAGAATCCACACGATCTTGATTTCAGCTGAGGTTTGAAAGCAACTTTATTGTTATAAGTTTTAATAACAACCACAAATTCATTAATTACAATATTAGTGAGTTCGAGGGTTGTGTAAAATTTTTTCAAGGGAAGCATTACTAAGTGAAACGATATTAAAATTGTACAATCCCTGTTTTCTTCTTTGTCAGCTCTTCAACACTGCACGTTGGAAAATGTGGAATCATAGTGTGAAGTGGATATTTATAGTTAATTATATTTACAGAGAAGGAAATTTTACATCCTTTTACTATTTCCCTTTCAAAGTTTAGGGGTTTCCTCTCACTGCTTAGTGAAAGTAAGGAATGAATAAATCAGAAAAAAAATGTTTATTTTTTTCAAATCTCCTTGACATCTTGCATACTGCCAGTTATGTAGAAGTAATAGGTCAGACACAAAGTATTTTAGAAGAGATAGATTAAGCCACAACCTAATATCAAGTACAGAAAAGTTTGTGTCTTCTATACTTTCTGCAGAAACCATCTCTGAAAGAACATGCTGTGCCCTGACTTTATTCATGCACCTGGTCCTAGGCCATTTCCTCAGTCACTTTCTTGGAAGCAGTTCCAGTGGACAAAAACATTTTCGTTCTTCTTTTTTGTTTTTTCCCCCTAATTTCAAGGAAAATTCAATGTGCAACTACTTATCAGAAAGTATACGTGCATTTAGAGGACTGGTAAAACTGTAATGGCAATACTAATGAATATGAAATTATATTTTTCTTTGTGGAAGGTCTGGAAAATGGCCTTGGTTCCTCTTCAAATAGGTCAAGCAACAGATCTTTTTAGTGCTGATATATCTTGTGAGCAATGAGAATTATTTCATAGTGTAACTAAATGTCATTTCTCTGTTATAAAATTCATAGATTAAATTTCAGTTTTGATACAAAAAGTGCAAACACTGGTAAGAAATACTCTGCAGCCTCTCAAAATTAAAAACAGTTCTCATATCTTCACTGTTAACCTTGCTGAAGACTGGCTTA